GATCAAAGTAGAATGACATGGAGAGCATTTAAATCTGTAGGAGAAGGAAGACGGGGTAGGGGTCGTCCTCGAAAAGGTTCGAAGGAAGGGGTAAGGGAGGTTTTGTGGGCGAGGGGCTTGGACTTACAGCAGGCGTGCATGAGTGTGTTCGATAGGAGTGAATGGAGACGAATGGTATTTGGGACTTGACGATCAGTCGGAGACTGAGCAGGGTAATATTTAGTGAAGTGATTCAGGGAAACCGGTTAATTTTATATAGCTGGACTTGAGTCCTGGAAATGGGAAGTACAATGCCTGCACTCTTAAGGAGGGGTTTTGGGATATTAGCAGTTTGGAGGGATATGTTGTGTATCTTTATACGTATATGCTTCTAAACTGTTGTGTTCTGAGCACCTCTGCAAAAACAGTGATTATGTGTGATTTTTGGGGATTTTCTTTTTGGGTCACCCTGCCTCGGTGGGAGACGGCCGACTTGTTGAAAAAAAAAAAAAAAAAAAAACATCTGGAGCCTGTCCAGTACCTAATTATCCTATTCTATTTGTGCTCTCACTATTTTGGCATTTCTGCAAACAGGAATATATAGAAGTTTATACATTTTTTCAGACCATTATTAAGAGGATTAAAGTGTTGCAAGTGTTTGTGTTTAAAATGTGTGTGTGATATACTGTAAAGCAGATTGGCTGCTCTGCTTTGCTTGTTGAAATACCAAAAAATAGAACTAAAGCATTTATCTAAGACAAAGAAATTTCAGCCTTTATTATGTGATTCAGGTAAAAAAGAATAAATTATAATCAAAATATTTGCACAACATAATAATTAATACTAAGAATAACTTACAATCCTGTATCAAAGATCTCGAGACCTTTGCGTCTGTGGTCAGAGAGGTTCTTGCGACGCATTGTGTCTAGTGCTGGAGTGACTTGATGGGCTGGAGCACTGTAGCGAACATTACCATAGGGAAGAGGCTTTCTTTGAGGTTTTTCAGATGTACTAAACAGGTTACTAAAGCTGAAATACCCATAAATAGATAAATTTTTCATATTAATTACTAGAAATAAAATATACATCAGTACAATTAAAAACAAGGTTTGTAAAGTATTAAATGAAAGATGCTGCCATCCTTTACTGTATACAAGGCATTTATAGTGGGTACTCAATTAATGATAAAATAATACAAAACTTTATATGCAATTCCAAATTTTGTTTGGGGGAACACAATGAACTTAGTTTAGCAAATGAATATCAATGTACACAGCTGTATCTTCCATACAAAGCAAGAAACTACATGGCCAGGAAAATAAAATGCAGATAAGAAAGACCTGTATATTTCAGCCTTAGTCCTGAGGCCAAAATATACATCTTATTTTTTTTACACATTTCATCTTTCTGCCCACCTGTTTTCTCACTTTTCATTGATCATTGCTTATGAAATTTTAATCTAAGCATATCTTCCATGTCTCAGCTATGTGTCTAATAGATCACATCAATCCATGTGATGGCTATATAAAAATTACATTTGTAAACAAGAGAAGTGCAAAATTGGTACGACTGACATGTTTTCAAAACATTTTTTTTTTAGTCACTGCTAGCCAAAGTGAATAACCTATCATTAACACACCATAAAATACCTTTACTATAATAATCTGATAATCATTAATAACTACATTAATATCGTGTAAGAGGGCAAATTCCTAGGCTCACAAGCTGAATTTTGTTTTATAAGACTGACTATGTAATGTTCCCATATATGCTATTGCTTAATGATATAACACTGTCTAGCCATATCTCACCCAAATCTCTGCATAGGAATCAACATTAGCTCTGCTACCCTATGACATTACTTAATCTATCCATACCTTATAAAGAACAAGAAGGAACAATACGCAAATAACCCACACATAAGAGAAGCTTATGACAACATTTTGGTCCAACTTAAACCATTTACAAGTCACCTTTGTGTTAGTTTGACTTATAAATGGGTCAAGTTGGACCAAAACATCGTTATGAGCTTCTCTCTCCTATGTACGGGTTATATGTGTAACGTACCTTATACACGAGATGTGTGCATAAAAATCACCAAAACACAACTATCTGAAGCTAATTGTTGATAACCAATATTTGAAGTACAGTATTCAAACCACTGAAAAACTTACAAGACCTCTGCATGTGCCATTAAACACAATATATCTTTAGAACCCCAAGCCTGTCATGATCTGATATTCCCAGAAGGCCCATGGACATGACACAAGACAATATCTTTTACAGATATGCCTTATTTATGGCTCAACCTATGTAGGAATACAATTCAAATATAAACTTGGTACATTTACATGTTTCTAAAACAAAATTTTCCCTTTCCTGCCAATTTATAATTATCATCAATTTTTAGTGAAAATTTACACTGCACAAGTAACCATGTAAACTTTTATTTCACAGACCACTACCCTACCTTTCTCATAACCAATCTAGGTAAATTACCCCCAAAACACTACTGAAGTTACCTTCAGACTTCATAACAAGACAGCCATTAATAACTTTACAAAAGCAATGACTAATATTGAATGGCAAACTGAGCTAGAAATCTATACAGATACTGATGAATGTATTAATAATTTTTTAAAAAAGACCCAATACCTCTATAACAAGCACTGCCCTAAAAAAACTAATCAGATCACAGCTAAGACTGAACAGTCCCTGGCTAACACCCAGCATCCTCAAATCCATAAATATAAAGCACCTATATGAAAAGCAGTACAGAATGGGTCAAATAACCAGGGACCAAACAAAACGTTACTCGTAAATCCTAACCAACCTGATAAGAAGGGCAAAAAAAATTGTATTATGAGAACAGATTATCCAACTTAAAAGGTGATATAAAAAAGACCTGGAAAATCCTATCTGAAATTCTAGGAACAAAAAAGATATCAGGAAACAGAACAATCAAACTAACAAAACCAGATGAACCCCCATTCCCACCGACTGAAACAGCAAACAGACTCAGTGTTTTCTTCTCCACCATAGGAAAAAACCTGGCGAGTAAAATCCCAAGCACAAACACCCCACCTAATGACTACCTCACTGGCACCTACCTGAATACACTATTCCTAGCTCTGACCAACCCAACAGAAGTCTCACTTATTATCAACACACTAAAGAACAAGGCAGGAGATTTAAATACCTTACCACCCTTTATATACAAAAAAGCTTCACAAGTACTGTCACCAATTATTGCAACACTCTTTAACAAATCCATCGAATCCTCTACCTTCCCCACAGTTCTCAAAATAGCGAGCGTCACCCTGATACATAAAGGAGGAGATCAAGCAGACCTAAATAACTGTAGGCCAATATCCAACTTACCCCTTCTCTCTACAACATACTCAACCCCTGTCAGTTTGGGCTCAGGCCTAATAAAAATACGAAAGATGCTATTATACACATGCTAGAACTAATATACACTGCACTTGAGAAAAAAGAAGTCCCATTGGGTATCTTCATTGATTTACATAAAGCTTTTGATACAGTTGACCATGATTTGTTGCACATAAAATTATCACACTGTGGTATAAGAGGGCACTCCCTCAACTACCTAAAGTCATACCTTAGCAACAGAAGCTAATATGTATACACAAATGGTAGTAGGTTGGTAGACAGCAACCACCCAGGTAAGTACTACCATCCTGCCAGATGACTGTGAAACAGAAACCTGTAACTGTTTTGCATGATGGTAGGATTGCTGGTGTCTTTTTCTGTCTCATAAACACGCTAGATAACAGGGATATCTTGCTACTCCAACTTACACTTTGGTCACACTTCACAGACATGCACATGCATATATATATACATACATCTAGGTTTTTCTCCTTTTTCTACATAGCTCTTGTTCTTCTTTATTTCTTCTATTGTCCATGGGGAAGTGGAAAAGAATCTTTCCTCCATAAGCCATGCATGTCGTATGAGGTGACTAAAATGCCGGGAGCAATGGGCTAGTAACCCCTTCTCCTGTAGACAATTACTAAAAAAGAGAAGAAGAAAAACTTTATAAAACAGGGATGCTTGAATGTGCGTGGATGTAGTGCAGATGACAAGAAACAGATGATTGCTGATGTTATGAAAGAAAAGAAGTTGGATGTCCTGGCCCTAAGCGAAACAAAGCTGAAGGGGGTAGGGGGGTTTCGGTGGGGGGAAATAAATGGGATTAAATCTGGAGTATCTGAGAGAGTTAGAGCAAAGGAAGGGGTAGCAGTAATGTTGAATGATCAGTTATGGAAGGAGAAAAGAGAATATGAATGTGTAAATGCAAGAATTATGTGGATTAAAGTAAAAGTTGGATGAAAGGGAAGTGGGTCATAATAAGCGTGTATGCACCTGGAGAAGAGAGGAATGCAGAGGAGAGAGAGAGATTTTGGGAGATGTTAAGTGAATGTATAGGAGCCTTTGAACCAAGTGAGAGAGTAATTGTGGTAGGGGACCTGAATGCTAAAGTAGGAGAAACTTTTAGAGAGGGTGTGGTAGGTAAGTTTGGGGTGCCAGGTGTAAATGATAATGGGAGCCCTTTGATTGAACTTTGTATAGAAAGGGGTTTAGTTATAGGTAATACATATTTTAAGAAAAAGAGGATAAATAAGTATACAAGATATGATGTAGGGCAAAATGACAGTAGTTTGTTGGATTATGCATTGGTAGATAAAAGACTGTTGAGTAGACTTCAGGATGTACATGTTTATAGAGGGGCCACAGATATATCAGATCACTTTCTAGTTGTAGCTACACTGAGAGTAAAAGGTAGATGGGATACAAGGAGAATAGAAGCATCAGGAAAGAGAGAGGTGAAGGTTTATAAACTAAAAGAGGAGGCAGTTAGGGAAAGATATAAACAGCTATTGGAGGATAGATGGGCTAATGAGAGCATAGGCAGTGGGGTCGAAGAGTTATGGGGTAGGTTTAAAAATGTAGTGTTAGAGTGTTCAGCAGAAGTTTGTGGTTACAGGAAAGTGGGTGCGGGAGGGAAGAGGAGCGATTGGTGGAATGATGATATAAAGAGAGTAGTAAGGGAGAAAAAGTTAGCATATGACAAGTTTTTACAAAGTAGAAGTGATGCAAGGAGGGAAGAGTATATGGAGAAAAAGAGAGAGGTTAAGAGAGTGGTGAAGCAATGTAAAAAGAGAGCAAATGAGAGAGTGCGTGAAATGTTATCAACAAATTTTGTTGAAAATAAGAAAAAGTTTTGGAGTGAGATTAACAAGTTAAGGATGCCTAGAGAACAAATGGATTTGTCAGTTAAAAATAGGAGAGGAGAGTTATTAAATGGAGAGTTAGAGGTATTGGGAAGATGGAGGGAATATTTGAGGAATTGTTTAAATGTTGATGAAGATAGGGAAGCTGTGATTTCGTGTATAGGGCAAGGAGGAATAACATCTGGTAGGAGTGAGGAAGAACCAGTTTTGAGTGTGGGGGAAGTTCGTGAGGCAGTAGGTAAAATGAAAGGGGGTAAGGCAGCCGGGATTGATGGGATAAAGATAGAAATGTTAAAAGCAGGTGGGGATATAGTTTTGGAGTGGTTGGTGCAATTATTTAATAAATGTATGGAAGAGGGTAAGGTACCTAGGGATTGGCAGAGAGCATGCATAGTTCCTTTGTATAAAGGCAAAGGGGACAAAAGAGAGTGCAAAAATTATAGGGGGATAAGTCTGAGAGTAAGACACATGTGCAACATCTGGGTATCTTTATTGTAGACGTTTCGCCATCCAGTGGCTTTATCAAAACAAATTCTAGGACATAACTTGAAGACAGTAGAACTATGTACAGAAGATGAGGTAATCAGTCCCTCAACCTAGGAGTAGGTGCGAACAGCACCATAGTCGTGGAGATTCTCAGAATCTCCACTTTAGATAAGGCTAAAGAGGTCTTTGTGGCATTTATGGATTTGGAAAAGGCATATGACAGGGTGGATAGGGGGGCAATGTGGCAGATGTTGCAGGTGTATGGTGTAGGAGGTAGGTTACTGAAAGCAGTGAAGAGTTTTTACGAGGATAGTGAGGCTCAAGTTAGAGTACATAGGAAAGAGGGAAATTATTTCCCAGTAAAAGTAGGCCTTAGACAAGGATGTGTGATGTCACCGTGGTTGTTTAATATATTTATAGATGGGGTTGTAAGAGAAGTAAATGCGAGGGTCTTGACAAGAGGCGTGGAGTTATAAGATAAAGAATCACACAAAGTGGGAGTTGTCACAGTTGCTCTTTGCTGATGACACTGTGCTCTTGGGAGATTCTGAAGAGAAGTTGCAGAGATTGGTGGATGAATTTGGTAGGGTGGCAAAAGAAGAAAATTAAAAGTGAATACAGGAAAGAGTAAGGTTATGAGGATAACAAAAATATTAGGTGATGAAAGATTGGATATCAGATTGGAGGGAGAGAGTATGGAGGAGGTGAATGTATTCAGATATTTGGGAGTGGACGTGTCAGCGGATGGGTCTATGAAGGATGAGGTGAATCATAGAATTGATGAGGGGAAAAGGGTGAGTGGTGCACTTAGGAGTCTGTGGAACAAAGAACTTTGTCCTTGGAGGCAAAGGGGGGGAATGTATGAGAGTATAGTTTTACCAACACTCTTATATGGGTGTGAAGCATGGGTGATGAATGTTGCAACGAGGAGAAGGCTGGAAGCAGTGGAGATGTCATGTCTGAGGGCAATGTGTGGTGTGAATATAATGCAGAGAATTCGTAGTTTGGAAGTTAGGAGGAGGTGCGGGATTACCAAAACTGTTGTCCAGAGGGCTGAGGAAGGGTTGTTGAGGTGGTTCGGACATGTAGAGAGAATGGAGCGAAACAGAATGACTTCAAGAGTGTATCAGTCTGTAGTGGAAGGAAGGCGGGGTAGGGGTCGGCCTAGGAAAGGTTGGAGGGAGGGGGTAAAGGAGGTTTTGTGTGCGAGGGGCTTGGACTTCCAGCAGGCGTGCGTGAGCGTGTTTGATAGGAGTGAATGGAGACGAATGGTTTTTAATACTTGACGTGCTGTTGGAGTGTGAGCAAAGTAACATTTATGAAGGGGTTCAGGGAAACCGGCAGGCCGGACTTGAGTCCTGGAGATGGGAAGTACAGTGCCTGCACTCTGAAGGAGGGGTGTTAATGTTGCAGTTTAAAAACTGTAGTGTAAAGCACCCTTCTGGCAAGACAGTGATGGAGTGAATGATGGTGAAAGTTTTTCTTTTTCGGGCCACCCTGCCTTGGTGGGAATCGGCCAGTGTGATAATAAAAAAAAAAAATAATAATAAAAAATGGAGCAAACTCTTCCACACAACCAATCACAGTTGGTGTCCCACAGGGAAGTGTCCTTGGCCCTCTTCTCTTTCTCATTTACATAAACGACCTACCAAATGCATCTCAACTACTCAAACCCATACTATTTGCAGATGACACTACATATGTCTTCCCTCACCAAAGCCCAGTCATACTAGCCAATACTGTAAATATTGAATTACAGAAAATATCTACCTAGATATAGATTAACAAGCTTACTCTCAATATTGACAAAACCTACTTCATTCAGTTTGGGAGCAGAACTACAGATGTTCCACTAAATATAATGATAAACGGTTCACCTATCTCAAAGCTCACAGAAGGTAAATTCTTAAGAATCCACCTTGATAACAGACTCAAATTCCAAACACATGTACAACAAATTTCCAAGAAAATCTCCAAGACTGTAGGCATACTATCGAAGATACGGTACTACAGTATGTTCTACAATCAGCTCTCCTTGCTCTATATCACTCACTCATTTACCCCTATCTCACCTATGGAATTTGTGCATGGGGCTCAACAACAATAAATCATCTCAGACCATTAATTACCCAACAAAAGGCTGCAGTTAGAATGATAACAAATTCCCCATGCAGGCAGCATACTCCAACAATATCCAAAACTCTAAACTTACTCACTGTACAAAACATCCATACTTATTATTGTGCCTACTACATATACTACATACACAGAACACTAAACTCAGATATAAACCCTCCCCTCAAACTTCTCCTTACCAACCTCAACAAAACACATGACCATAACACAAGGCACAGATCACTCTTTGATGTTCTCCATGTCTATCTCACACTACGTAAAAACTCAATGCACATAAAAGGCCCAAAAATCTGGAATTCATTACCTGTGAATACAAAAGAAACACTGTCTGTTTATAAATTCAAGACTCTTCTTAAAAAGCACTTACTCACCCAAAACTAAATAAATAATGAATAACTGTATTTCATACATGTATAACCCCTGACCCTATCAAACTATGTTTTTAATTGTAATGCTATAAATTTGTACAACTATAATGCTTCATAACTGAAATGTTCAAATTTCATTGTTTAAAATACTCAATTGTACTTCATATTGTAAATTATTTATTGTAATTTTTACCACTGAATCTATCATTGTTTGGTTAATTTTAAGCCTGCCCATAATGCTCTGCATACAAGGCACTTTTGGCATGTGCACCCAACTACTATAATTCCTTGTACAACTATGTATCATGTCCAAATAAAAATTATTATTATTATTATTATTATTATTATTATTCATCCTCCTTGTCTTTTGTTGTATCCATAATCAACAAACCAGCTGTATCCCACTGAGGCAGGATGGCCCCAAAAGAAAAACTAGTTTCTTATTTTAACTTTAGTAATGCATACAGGAGAAGGTGTTACTAGCCCCCTTGCTCCGGCATTTTAGTTGCCTCTTACGACACGCATGGCTTCCGGAGGAAGAATTCTGTTCCACTTTCCCACGGAGATAAGAGGAAATAATGAAGAACAAGAACTAGCAAGAAAATAGAAGAAAATCCAGAGGGGTGGGTATATACAGTGGACCCACGCCTTGTGAACGCATTGCGTTACGTTAAATCTGCCATACAAAGCATTTGAACGCAAAAATTTTGCCTTGCCTCACGATAAAAAACTCGCCTTACGTGATTCATCCGAGACGCGTCCCACGTGTGGCCTCAGTGCCAGTGTTTACAAACCAGCCAGTGAGGTCGCATCTACGCATACATTCGGTACATTTCACATTATCCCAGTGTTTTTAGTGCTTGTAACTGCAAAATAAGTCACCATGGACCCCAAGAAAGCTTCTAGTGCCATCCCTGTGGTAAAAAGGGTGAAAATCACCCTGACACAGCTACTGCAAGCCGTGTTAGCAACCTGTACAATGGCAATATTATGACCCATTTTAGGAAAATCTTAAAGGAATGGGAGGTACAGAGCTCTATGGACAGATTTGTTGTGCGACAGAGGTCCAGTGACTCTCAAGCTGTTGCTGCACCACGGTCAGCTGGTCCTAGTGGCATTAAAAGAAGAAGGGAAGTAACCCTGGAAAAGGACTTGCTACCTCAAGTCCTAATGGAAGGGGATTCCCCTTCTAAACAATAACTTCCACACTCTCCCCTCCTCCCATCCCATCAATCATCACCAGATCTTCAATAAAGGTAAGTGTCATGTATTCTATTCTTAGTAGAGTAGTAATTATGCAAGTCTTCTTCAGTTTGTGTGTTAAAATTAATGTTTCATGTGGTAAAATTTTTTTTTTCATACTTTGGGGTGTCATGAACGGATTAATTTGATTTCCATTATTTCTTATGGGGAAAATTAATTCGGCCAACGATAATTTCGGCTTACGATGAGCGCTCAGGATCGGATTAATATCGTAAGGCGGGGGTCCCCTGTATTTGCTTGTACATGTATGTGTAATGTGACCTAAGTGTAAGTAGAAGTAGCAAGATGTACCTGAAATCTTGCATGTTTCTTCTTTCTTTCAACACACCAGTCGTATCCCACAGAGGCGGAGTGTCCAAAAAGGAAAAATGAAAGTTTCTCCTTTTACATTTAGTAATATATACAGGAGAAGGGGTTACTAGCCCTTTGCTCTGGCATTTTAGTCACCTCTTACGACACTCATGGCTTACAAAGGAAGAATTGTTCCACTTCCCTATGGAGATAAGATGCAATAAACAAGAACAAGAACTAGTAAGAAAATAGAAGAAAATCCAGAGGGATGTGTATATATATGCTTGCACATGTATGTGTAGTGTGACCTAAGTGTAAGTAAAAGTAGCAAGTCGTACCTGAAAGCTTGCATGTTTATGAGACAGAAAAAAGACACCAGCAATCCTGCCATCATGTAAAACAATTACAGGTTTCTGTTTTACACTCACTTGGCAGGATGGTAGTACTGTGGTACTCCAAGTTTTGTACTGCTCCCAACTCAAACAACTATGTAAGTGTAATATTGAGAGTGCTTTTGTAAGTGTATTTTTGGGGGTCTGAAACGGACTAATCTAATTTACATTATTCCTTATGGGAACAAATTCATTCGGTAATGGCACTAGAACAGCCTTCTGGAATGAATTATGGCTGAAACTCGGGGTACCACTATCTCCCTGGGCAGTTACTGTCTACCAACCTACTACCTAGGGCAAAACTATACAAACAGTATTATATATTTTCTTTTAACCATCACAGTGTATAAGCCAGTGGTAACTACAAATAAAAACCTCATTGTGCTGGTTGGTCACCACATGATCCACAAGCAGTTAAAAATAAAAAAGTGCTCTAATGCATTAAGGCAGCTACAATTCCCTGGATCAAGAGCCCTAAAATTTATGGCAAATTCCCTCCTTGAAGGGACATGTATGAGGAACAGCTTTTACTTTTGTTATTTATATACAGTATTATATAGGGTGCTGTAATGCACAGTTTTCTTGAATACCTACCATTCTATTCTCAATAGTATGGAAAATGTTCGTACTGTACTGAAAATATGTACATTGTACATATATGACTTTCACTTGAAATCCTGAAATGCAAGCATTTAACAAAAATTTTCAAACTTACAATTTCCATATAGTTTGCTTGTTTTTCTTATCTACGCTTGGATCATTCCTGGAGGCTCGAATCATTTCTGTCCAGCGTACTGCTTCCTGAAGCTCCATAAACCGCTCCTTATACTGGTTACGTTCCATTAACACCCGTGCCATTTCAACTCTAGTAAACCTCTTGCGCTGAGCCATTGGTACATCCTCCTGGGGGAAAAAGTCCATCTCTGAACGTGTGTTGAATACGAAATAATATAATTCGTCACTTATGTAGAAAGTTATGAGCTTTTAACCCTTTGACTGTCGCAACCCCCAATCCTGAGGTGTCTCCTGGTGTTGCAAAATTTAAAAAAAAAAAAAAAAAATTTTCTTATGAAATGATAGAGAATCTTTTCCCGATTGTAATGACACCAAAAAATCAAAATTTGATGGAAAACTGATGGAATTATGCTCTCGCGAAGTTAGCGACCTCAGCGCTGTTTACAAATCGGCGATTTCGCCCACTTCGAGCCCTATTTTCGGCTAATTCCATTGTTCCAGTCGCCCAAACTCATAGCTATTTCTTTAGAACTCCATTTTTTCTATCGACTGAGTACAAGAAACTGCCCATTTACCGATTTCAACTACCTAATAATGTGGTCAGAAATTTGCAATTTGGTCAATTTCAGGAAAACTAAAAAATATGACAATTTCAAAATAAGGTCCAGAATGAACAATGCAGACATTCCTGGCTCTAAAATAACATTTTCTTTGCTCATCAGTCATGTCTCCAAGCCCCTCTAATATTACTCTTGCTTTCTATTTTGAATTTTTATTCAAACAAAAAATAAAACTTACTATTATGCAGACTACTGCAATACTGTAATAATTGTATAAATAACATCAACCCATTCATGACTGCATATTAGAATGGCTAGTTGGACATTTATTGGACAATGGCATCATTTGTTTACTTTTGAACATTGGCAAAAATCAAACATTTCCACTACTTTGAGCTCCATTTCTAGGTTCTTTTTATAGTAAAATCAATCAAAATCACCTCTATTTCTATAATGTGTTTTTCATTCTATCAAATGAGACCAAGAAAACGAGAATACAACCATAAATACTATACAAAAATAGACCACAAAGTCGGCATTTTAATTAAAAAAAAACGGTCGGAGTTTTTTTTTTTCTCATTATGCACTGCGTGCTCCAGGATTTTTTTTATATGGTGCACACTGACCACACAGACCCATTCTCTCACATGTGGGCCTACCAGCTTTCTCCTGCTTGATTTGAAGCCGCTAGAATTTATGAGAATATGTATGTCAAACACGGTACCTCGTAAGACGTATATATACGGCCGCGACAGTCAAAGGGTTAAAGAAGAGCTGGTAATTATTTCAGTACTGTACCTTCTTCAATCTCACATTCTCTCACACCACCAAGATTTTCAAATATTCTCATTTTTTTTTTTTAACTCAACAGCCCTTTCTCACTAAGGAAGAGAAACCCAGAGAAAAAACACATTCACCATTATTCACTCAATCCCCTTCTTTCCAGAAGTGTGCTGACATTCTAATTAGATTACCCTCCTTCAGAGTTCATGACACCCACACCCATGGTGCCATCCACCCCAAATTTATACACCTTTTCCATCTTCTCTACATGCCCATACCATCTCAACAACCCTTCCTCAGCCCTCTGAAGCATACCCTGGGTGAGCCCATATTTCCTAAATATCATCTTTAACAACTGTTTGACACTGCATTAGGTAAATGTTCATTAGTTTCAATACTCAATCAGGTAAACATTTACCAAATATAATACTTAGCCATGTACATATTTACTAGCTTCAACACTCAATTCATGGGGTATACATGTGCTAACCTTACTATTCACTTCATGGGGTAAACATGTACTAGAGTCAATACTCACTTCATCATCAGACTTGTTAGCTTTAGCATTTTTCTCGGCCTCTTCCTTGACCTTCTTCACCTCATCCTCCAACTCCGTGATTCGTAGTTTTAATCTTGATTTCACAGCATTCAGGGACTTTATCTCTTCTCGTAATATCTCTTGCTCACTAAAACAAGTTAAGATTGTGCATGAGAATGGCTACTAGCAATCAAGTCTGAATAATGTACAGTACAGTACTGTTCTTTATAAAGAGTAGCACTGTAAAATATTATCTACCTAAGAATAAACTTTAGTTTCCTAATGTAGCACTGTGCTTGAGGGTAAAAAATCCATAAATGGAAAAATCTGGATGACTGTTTGTATTAGATATATAATCAGAAAACAAGAACTTAATTAGAGAAGATTTATAACTTTAGTGTTGCCTAAAGAGAAGCAAATAATGTTATCAGTGCCTTAACAATTATGCAAGTGAGAGAAGAAATAAGACAAGACACTATAATTAAAAGAAAATATTATTTTACCTCTGGAATCTTAAATTTTTTTTTTTCAACACACCGGCCATATCCCACCAAGGCAGGGTGGCCCCACAAAAAAAAAAAATGAAAGTTTCTCTTTTTAAATTTAGTAATTTATACAGGAGAAGGGGTTACTAGTCTCTTGCTCCTGGCATTTTAGTCGCCTCTTACAACATGCATGGCTTACGGAGAAAGAATTCTGTTCCACTTTCCCATGGAGATAAGAGGAAATAAACAAGAACAAGAACTAGAAAGAAATAGAAGAAAACCCAGAGGGCTGTGTATATATGTGCTTGTACATGTATGTGTAGTGTAACCTAAGTGTAAGTAGAAGTAGCAAGACGTACCTGAAATCTTGCATGTTTATGAGACAGAAAAAACGACACCAGCAAACCTACCATCATGTAAAACAATTACAGGTTTCCATTTTACACTCACCTGGCAAGACGGTAGTACCTCCCTGGGCAGTTGCTGTCTACCAACCTACTACTTAATGGAATCTTAAATGTAATTTATTAAACAATGGCTATATTTTGAGTACTGCTGAGTGTGTCAGTGAAAGATAGTACTTGGTTCCAGAAGAGTCTTGGTAAGTATTATTTAGAGTTACTTAAACAGCACATTCATCGAAGTAAATGTAAAATGGATTTAAATATTACATATTTATAAATTATAGGTAGTAGGTTGGTAGACAGCAACCACCCAGGGAGGTACTACCGTCCTGCCAAGTGAGCGTAAAACGAAAGCCTGTAATTGTTTTACATGGTAGGATTGCTGGTGTCTTTTTTTTCTGTCTCATACACATGCAAGATTTCAGGTACGTTTTACTACTTCTACTTACACTTAGGTCACACTACACATGCATGTACAAGCATATACACCTACCATCCGACTTATGACCTGCTCGACATATGACCACTCAACGAACGACCATGTTTTTTTATGCCAAATTTCTGGGAAATAAACAACTGTTTGTGTTGTACACAGTGTTTATCCTAAACCTTACAGTATAAAAAACATTACTAACAGCATAAAAAGTAAAGTAAAAAAGGAAATGCCAAAATAAAACAATAAAATAAAGTCATTACAAAATTGTGATGTTGATACTCAGTAGTGAGGTTCGACTTACGTCCATTTCGACTTACGACCGGTTGGTCGGAACCAAGATCAGTCGTAAGTCAGATGGTACCTGTATATACACACCCCTCTGGGTTTTCTTCTATTTTCCTACTAGTTCTTGTTCTTGTTTATTTCCTCTTATCTCCATGGGGAAGTGGAACAGAATTCTTCCTCCGTAAGCCATGCGTGTTGTAAGAGGCGACTAAAATGCCAGGAGCAAGGGGCTAGTAACCCCTTCTCCTGTATAAATTACTAAATTTAAAATGAAAAACTTTCGTTTTTCTTTTTGGGCCACCCTGCCTCGGTGGGAAACAGCCAATTTGTTGAAAAAAAAAAAAAAATTATGCTTTTAAAGAATGCTATTTTTTTTTTTTTAACAAGTCGGCCGTCTCTCACTGAGGCAGGGCGACCCAAAAAAGAAAATCCCCAAAAAGAAAATACTTTCATCATCATTCAACACTTTCACCTCACTCACACATAATCACTGTTTTTGCAGAGGTGCACAGAATACAACAATTTAGAAGCTTTCTTTCTTTCAACACACCGGCTGTATCCCACCGAGGCAGGGTGGCCCAAAAGGAAAAACGAAAGTTTCTCCTTTACATTTAGTAATATATACAGGAGAAGAGGTTACTAGCCCCTTCCTCCCGGCATTTTAGTCGCCTCTTACAACACGAATAGCTTACGGAGGAAGAATTCTGTTCCACTTCCCCATGGAGATAAGAGGAAATAAACAAGAATAAGAACTAGAAAGAAAATAAAAGAAAACCCAGAGGGGTGCATATATATGTGCTTGTACATGTATGTGTAGTGGGACCTAAGTATAAGTAGAAGTAGCAAGACATACCTGAAATCTTGCATGTTCATGAGACAGAAAAAAGGACACCAGCAATCCTACCATCATGTAAAACAGGACGGTAGTACCTCCCTGGGTGGTTGTTGTCTACCAACCTACTACCTAGGTAGTTTAGAAGCATATACATATAAAGATACACAATATATCCCTCCAAACTGCCAATATCCTAAACCCCTCCGTTAAAGTGCAGGCATTGTACTTCCCATTTCTAGGACTCAAGTCCGGCTATATAAAAATAACCGGTTTCCCTGAATCCCTTTAATAAATATAACCCTGCTCACACTCCAACAGCTCGTCAGGTCCCAAATACCATTCGTCTCCATTCACTCCTATCTAACACGCTCACACACGCTTGCTGGAAGTCCAAGCCCCTCGCCCACAAAACCTCCTTTACCTCCTCCCTCCAACCTTTTCAAGGACAACCCCTACCCCGCCTTCCTTCCCCTACAGATTTATACGCTCTCCATGTCATTCTACTTTGATCCATTCTCTCTAAATGACCAAACCACCTCAACAACCCCTCTTCAGTCCTCTGACTAATACTTTTATTAACCCCACACCTTTTCCTGATTTCCACACACCGAATTTTCTGCATAATATTCACACTATACATTGCCCTTAGACAGGTCATCTCCACTGCCTCCAACCGCCTCCTCGCTGCAGCATTTACAACCCAAGCTTCACACCCATATAAGAGTGTTGGTGCTACTATACTTTCATACATTCCCTTCTTTGCCTCCACAGATAACGTTTTTTGTCTCCACATATACCTCAACGCACCACTCACCTTTTTTCCTTCATCAATTCTATGATTAACCTCATCCTTCATAAATCCATCCGCTGACACGTTAACTCCCAAATATCTGAAAACATTCACTTCTTCCATACTCCTCCTCTCCAATTTGATATCCATTTTTTCTTTATCTAAATCATTTGATACCCTCATCACCTTACTCTTTTCTATGTTCACTTTCAACTTTCTACCTTTACACACACTCCCAAACTCGTACACTAACCTTTGCAATTTTTCTTTAGAATCTCCCATAAGCACAGTATCATCAGCAAAATGTAACTGTGTCAATTCCCATTCTGTATTTGATTCCCCATAATTTAATCCCACCCCTCTCCTGAGTACCCTAGCATTTACTTCTTTTACCATCCCATCTATAAATATATTAACCCTTTCAGGGTCCAAGGCCAAAATCTGAAGTGGTGCCCAAGTGTCCAAGAATTTAAAAAAATAAATTTGTTATTTTTTTCTTACAGAATGGACATAAATTTGTTAGAAAACATTCAGCGTAGGATGACTAAATTAATACATAGCATTAGAAATCTTCCTTATGAAGAAAGATTGAAAACTCTTAAATTTCAAGCACTTGTTAGACGAAGAATGAGGGGAGACATGATCGAGGTGTATAAGTGGAAAATGGGTATTAACCCCTTAAGGGTCCAAGGCCCAAATCTGAAGTGGTGCCCCAGTGTCCAAGAATTTTCAAAAAAAAAATTTATTTTTTCTTATGAAATGGTAGAGAATCTTTTTGTGAAGGTAATAAAACAAAAAGTATGAAATTTGATGGAAAATTGACGAAATTATGCTCTCGCGAATTTTGATGTGTCAGCGATATTTACGAATCGGCGATTTTGCCGACTTTGACTCCCATTTTAGGCCAATTACATTATTCCAGTGAACCAAATTCTTAGCTATTTCTCTAGTATTACTTCTATTCTATCGATTAAGCACAAGAAATCGCCAAGTCAACTGTTTCAACTACAAAATAAAGTAATCGGAAATTGTTAATTTGGCCAATTTAACACAAAGTTCAAAATATTCCAGTTTCAAAATAGGGTCCAGAATAAACAATGTAGGTATTCCTGGAACTAAACTAACATTTCCTCTGTTCATTAGTTACGTTTTGAGGCTTTACAAATAAATTCCATTTTGATTTTTTATTCGCATAAAGAATTTTTATTCACACCAAAAAATAGAAGATTTATTGTTATGCAATATTGTAATAATTGTATAAATATCATCACCATATTTGTGCATGTATATTAGACCCACCAGCTGGCGTGTATTAGACGTGTGAGGTCGTTTGTTTACTCTTGAATATCGGCAAAAATTTAACATTTCCGCTACTTTGAGCTCAGTTTCAAGCCATTTCCAGTGCTAAAACCAATCAAAATCATCTCTATTTCTGTAATAAGTCTTCCTTTCTATCAAATGAGACCAAGAAATCGCAAATACAACTATAAAAAACATACGAAAAAACACTGCAAAGTCGCTGTTTTAATTGAAAAATCATGATTTCAGTTTTTTTCTCTCATAATACACAGTGTGCTGCAGGATTTGTTTTATGTGGTGCACACATACCACATGTATGTATTCTCTCATATCTAGGCCCAAATGTACCACTCACAGTTTATCAGAGTGAGCTGAGCTCATGACGTAGATCTACGGTTTGGACCCTGAACGTAAAGCCATAGATCTACGGGACGGACCCTGAAAGGGTTAATAAAGGAGATATTAATAAGGTCTTGAGGATATCTCTCCAAGAGAGAACCCGCAGTAATGGATTTAAATTAGATAAGTTTAGATTTAGAAAGGACATAGGAAAGTATTGGTTTGGAAATAGGGTAGTTGATGAGTGGAACAGTCTACCTAGTTGGGTTATTGAGGCTAGGACTTTGGGTAGTTTCAAATTTAGGTTGGATAAGTACATGAGTGAGAGGGGTTGGATTTGAGTGGGACTTGCAAATCAGAGCTTATTTCTTGGGTAGCACTGAAAATTGGGTTGGGTAAATGTTTTGTTAGTGGGATGAATTGTAAAGGACCTGCCTAGTATGGGCCAACAGGCCTGCTACGGTGTTCCTCCTTTCTTATGTTCTTATGAAATGGTAGAGAATCTTTTTGTGAAGGTAATAAAACAAAAAGTACGAAATTTGATGGAAAATTTACTAAATTATGCTCTCGCGAATTTTGATGTGTCAGCGATATTTACTAATCGGCGATTTTGCTGATTTTGACTCCCATTTTAGGCCAATTACATTATTCCAGTCGACCAAATTCTTAGCTATTTCACTAGTATTACTTCTATTCTATCGATTGAGCACAAGAAATCGCCAAGTCAACTGTTTCAACTACAAAATAAAGTGATCAGAAATTGGTAATTTGGCCAATTTAACACAAAGTTCAAAATACTCCAATTTCAAAATAGGGTCGAGAATAAACAATGTAGGTATTCCTGGCACTAAACTAACGTTTCCTCTGTTCATTAGTTATGTTTTGAGGCTTTACAAATGAATTCCATTTTGATTTTTTATTCACATAATGAATTTTTATTCACAACAAAAAATAGAAGATTTACTGTTATGCAATATTGTAATAATAGTATAAATATCATCACCACATTTGTGAATGCATATTAGACCCACAAGCTGGTGTGTATTAGACGTGTGAAGCCGTTTGTCTACTCTTGAACATCAGCAAAAATTTAACATTTCCGCTACTTTGAGCTCAGTTTCAAGCCATTTCCAGTGCTAAAACCAATCAAAATCATCTCTATTTCTGTAATATGTCTTCCATTCTGTCAAATGAGTCCAAGAAATTGCAAATACAGTGGACCCTCAACCAGCGATATTAATCCGTTCCCGAGAGCTCATCGTTAGTCAAAATAATCGTTAGTCAAGTTAATTTTCCCCATAAGAAATAATGGAAATCAAATTAATCCGTGCAAGACACTCCAAAGTATTGAAAAAAAAAAATTTTACCATATGAAATATTAATTTTAATACACACAAACTGAAGAAGACATGCACAGTTACATGACACTTACCTTTATTGAAGATCTGGTGATGATTGATGGGATGGGAGGAGGGGAGACCGTTGATCTTGTTAGTGTTTAGAAGGGGAATCCCCTTCCATTAGCACTTGAGGTAGCAAGTCTTTTTCTGGGGTTACTTCTCTTGTTCTTTTAATGCCACTAGGACCAGCTTGAGAGTCACTGGACTTCTGTCGCACAACATATCTGCCCATAGAGGCCTGTACCTCTCATTCCTTTATCCTAAAGTGTTTCACAACATTGTCAGTGTAATAGTCACCAGCACAGCTTGCAATAGCTGTGTGAGGGTGATTTTCATCAAAAAAGGTTTGCACTTTAAGCCACATTGCACACATTTCCTTAATCTTTGAAGTAGGCAACTTCTTCAATTTCTCTCTCCCCTCCTTCGAAGCAGTTTCCTCAGGTGTGGTCTCTTACTGTTGAAGATGATCTAGCAGCTCATCAGTGGTTTGTTCTTCATTGTCCTCCTCCATCAACTCTTCCACATCCTCCCCACTAACCCAATGGAAATAAGTTAGACAGTCCTCGATGATGCACTGACTTTCTTGGGTTATCCTGGGTGGGTAACCCTCCGGGGTTAATCGTTTCTCGGTAATTGTTTCACGTTAAGCCACACCAACAACACTCTCTCCACATCTTCGAGTAATACAGCTGATGGTGGTGCAGCAACAACAACAGCTGACTGTGGTGCAGCAGCAGCTGCACCTTTGGCAAGAACAGCTTCCTTGATTGCCATTTTCTTACCCACAATAGTAGCGATGGTTGATTGGGGTTTATTATACAACCTGACCAGCTCAGAGACACGCACTCCATTTTCATACTTAGCAATGATCTCTTTCTTCATCTCCATAGTAATTCTCACCCTTTTTGCTGTAGGGTTGGCACTAGAAGCTTTCTTGGGGCCCATGGTGACTTATTTTGCAGGTGCAATCACTACAAAGGCTGTGATAATATGAAATGTTCCAGTTGTTGTATGTTTGGAAGCGACCGTGGTGGCTGGCTGGCTTGTAAACACTGGCACCCAAGGGACAAGTGAGGCGCGCTCAGGCCAAAATGGACGCGTATGGTACGGAACGAATAGCGCTGGTCGGGTTTTTAGGCGCTAGTTGAGGTAAAAATTTTGCATTAAAATGTATCGCTAGTCAGATTTATCGTTAATCGATGCCATCGCTGGTTAAGGGTCCACTGTACAACTATAAAAAACATACGAAAAAACACTGCAAAGTCACTGTTTTAATCGAAAATCACGGTCTCAGTTTTTTTCTCTCATTATACACAGTGTGCTGCAGAATTTGTTTTATGTGGTGCACACATACCACATAGATGTATTCTCTCACATCTAGGCCCAAATTTACCACTCACAGTTTATCAGAGCGAGCTGAGCTCATGGCATAGATCTACGGTTTGGACCCTGAACGTAAAGCCACAGATCTACAGGACGGACCCTGAAAGGGTTAAACAACCATGGTGACATTACACATCCCTGTCTAAAACCTACTTTTACTGGGAAGTAGTCTCCCTCTCTTCTACACACCCTAACCTGAGCCTCACTATCCTCATAAAAACTCTTTACAGCATTTAGTAACTTACCACTTATTCCATATACTTGCAACATCTGCCACATTGCTCTCCTATCCACTCTGTCATTTGCCTTTTCCAAATCCATAAATGCAATAAAAACTTCCCTACCTTTATCTAAATACTGTTCACATTTATGCTCCAATGTAAACACTTGATCTACACATCCCCTACCCACTCTAAAACCTCCTTGCTCATCTGCAATCCTACATTCTGTCTTACCTCTAATTCTTTCAATAATAGCCCTACCGTACACTTTTCCTGGTATACTCAGTAAACTTATTCCTCTATAATTTTTACAATCTCTTTTGTTCCCCTTCCCATTACATTAAAGGACTATACATGCTCTCTGCCAATCCCTATGTACCTTCCTCTCTTTCATACATTTATTTCATCGTCTACCCGTCCTCACTCATCGTCTACCCGTCCTCATTCATCGTCTACCCGTCCTCATTCATTGTCTACCCGTCCTCATTCATCGTCTACCCGTCCTCATTCATCGTCTACCCGTCCTCATCATCGTCTACCCGTCCTCATCATAGGTAGAGGTTATTTTGATAAGGACCTGCCTCGCATGGGCCAGTAGGCCTTCTACAGTGTTCCTCCATTCTTATGTTCTTATGTAAACAAAAGTACCAACCACTCCAACACTATATCCCCCCCTGCTTTTAACATTTCTGTCATGATCCCGTCAGTTCCAGCTGCTTTACCCCCTTTCATTCTACGTAATGCCTCATGCACCTCCCCCACACTCACATCCTGCTCTTCTTCACTCCTACAAGATGGTATACCTCCCTGGCCAGTGCATGAAATTACCGCCTCCCTTTCTTCGTTGAGATTTAAAAGTTCCTCAAAATATTCTCGTTATCCACCCAATACCTCCATCTCCCCATCTACTAACTCCCCTACTATATACGTATGTATTATACATGTATGTGTGAAGATACATGTATACAATACAAATGTATAAAAACAGACATTTTCTTTGTACATATAAGTACAGTACAATGAGCAGATGTTGTTTAGACTACAATATTATTATAAGGGATGCTTGTAGTACTAAATAAGGTATTCTTGCTTACTTTCTTCTACATCATAAAACTACATATTTTTTTATTTTGCGACGCTAGCTGATACTGAAGTGGAATGACACACACATATTTTGTCATGCTGGGAGCACTTAGCTCTCAAGCCCCTTTATTAGATTTTTATGAATGTTATTTTTATTTATCAGATGTTAGGAGAGAATTTATCAGTTCTTTAAATAGTGCACTTCACATAAAAACCAACAAAATCATTGAATGATAGGTTCACTGGCCATTAATGCAAATTGCCAATCACAAACCATTAGGAGAGAAACCACAAAACACTTTACCTTGTTAGTTCATCTACTTTGGCAATAAGGTCATCTTTCACTATGTTTAGGGCATTCCTGCAAAACAAAACATTCTGTGAGTGCCTCAATCAGCCATAAAAGGCATGAATGTTATTGCTTTATATGCCACATTCTATAAGGGAGCCAAAGCTATCTTGTTGAAACCATTCATAAATTTACCACAAAGCATATCTAGCTTCATTTAATTCTGTGTCAGGCTGAGGTGGAAAGGAGTATGTGCACAACACATATACCTTATCTCTGACATGTATGTGTCAGAGTTCAAAACTCAAGCAAGGGTAAAGCCAAAGTACATCACTCGAGAATATTACGAACTACCAAAACAAGCATCAGCTATTTTACTTACTTGGTAGCCAGTAGCTCATTATTTTCCATGATGAGATTTTCCACTTCTTTACCCATTCCTGTAAATGAAACATAATAACTAAGACAGTATCTATAATTCTTTGTAATTATATTTCTATAATAAATTAATTAATCACTTCAAATCCTTTTTACAGGACAAAATTCCAGACTGTAAAATTAACAATTGTCTCATTAAAAGAAAAACTAAGATTAATAAAATGCTAACAAACAGGAAATAGACACTCACAAAAGATGTTTTGACAAAAAAAAACAAAATGTTATTTACACACAACAGATCTAGTTTTTAAATCATTCCTACTGATAACTTTTTACATATCAAAACCTTACCAAAGAAGTTGTCTGTGACTGTTGTTGCAAAATGTTCCGAGTCCATGTATGGTCCATTTATGGTGCAGACAAGTGTTGTTGGTGATGTAGAGAAGGAGATGAGGTGGGTCAGTGGGAGGAAAACCACACGTGTTAGTCTTGCAAGTGACAAACAAAACACAAAAGCTATCATGCTCTAGTTAAAGCCATGTTTCATCTAATACTTAATGAAACTTGCCATTTAAATCTTACTGATAAAACAAATCAATAAAAGATGATTACTAATTTGTGATATTTAAAACCATATTTCTACTTTAATAACATGAAATTTATAAATTTAGTCAGATAATATATTATTATCACTCGTAAAAGATAACATTCTGGTTATTAGCTCACAAATTACTAACCAATTTGCTATACTAACATGAATGCCCAACTTTGCATCATACTATTAGGCTGAAACTCTGAAACTCAAATTTTTTATTTAAGCTGCACTCAGTGTAAGCTTTCTTTAATGTAACCTGAGAAAATGCACTGGTGAAATGTGCCGAGGACTGATTTGCATACTGCACATTTAAATACAGCAATAAGCCATTTGTCTGTTTCTACTAGCATAGCTATGTGCAGAGAATATTTAAACAGCAAATATGAATAACTCTCATCTGATTACTCCAAATATTAATCTCAGTCTCTTGATCTAAATATTAATCTCACCCTATTACTCCAAATATTAGCCTCAGCCTATTAATCCAAATATTAATCTTAGCCTATGAATCCAAATATTAATCACAACCATTTAATCCAAGTATTATTCTCAATCTACTGATCCAGATACTATGGATCTTATGGAGCATCACATGCAGAAAGAGAAAGAGAAACCTGCATGCTTCAATTCTAAATCCTTAACCACAAAAGCTTTACCCATATACTGGACTAGCATTCTTTTTTCTATACTGTACTGTACTTTATACAGCAGAGGTCAATCCCTTCAGGTTTGAAATCAGAACTGCATACCATAATTTATAATACGTACACTGTACTACCGAGCTATCTGGAAACTAGAGCTTTAGCAATGGTTATGCATAATCAATAAAATCAAAAGATACTCTATGTATGTGTGGGTCTATCCTATAGAAATAAATAACCATAATATCCATTTACTGGCAGAATGGAATGTTATTTCTAAATACAATACATAAAGTTTTTATCAGTAGTGTATGTCTTAAAAGTAAAGAATTAGTAAGAATCATTTTATAATATTGCAATATAGTGAAGTGCAACAAATGATTTCAAAACTGAGACCTTTTTTCTTTTTTCTCAACCAGAAATATGAGAAAACCCCTGGAATACAGGGATGAAGTTTCTGGGACTCACTACTTGGGGCTTAATGCAAATATCATTTTATTGTTTCACTGATTATTTCATTAAATGCATTGATTTTTTGTATGAAGCTTAACTCATGAATGTAATATTCTTTTACCATAATCAGAAGCATTAAATTTTTGTGCATGGTTGTTTAGCACATGTGTGAGGAACTCATATTTAATTATACAGTGGTCAACAAATTTGAAGCTTTCAAATCATGACACATTAGTAATAAAGATTGAATTTCACTACTTTAGAAATCGAATTCAATTAAAAAAAAATGAATGTTTATTTGGTGCACTCAAGATTTTTTGGTAAATCTGGTTATGAAATATGAATTTTCTTTCTTTATTTTGGCAAGTTTTATGTTGTTTAATTAGGGCAAAAGATACCTGAAGAACTCAATGGCACAGCTTTGGCACTGACCATGCCAGATTTGCAGTGCTCGCTATAATAGGAAATGGTGACTTAGGGGAAACCATATTTTTGAAAAAATATAAAATCCCACTAAATGACATACATTACTAATGGTGCTATAGTAACCACAGATAATTATACTGTACTACAAAAATTTAGTTTACTTAAGACTCTTACATAATGGTGAATTTGTGTTTCACATAGAGCAAGGCCTCCCTCTGTATAAGAATATTCAAAGAATCTAGCTACGGTTGAAGCTCAGAAGGTGGCAGCAATAAAAAATGAAAATCTTGGAGCAAAACTGCATTACAGCAAACTAAAAGAATAACATTAAAGCAATGTCCATAAATCATTGCACATAATAATTTGTTTATATTTTTTTTCACTGCCACATCCTTGCAGGCAAAGCTGTAAGGCACACTTGTCATACCAGAGTACGTGGGAGAGTTCCCACCTTCCTCACTCCCACTGTCTGTCGTGTGCACAGCACCATTCGTCAGTGATGTGCAAACGTACACCCAAGGGCCATGTGCACGTGCCAAACATCAGGTGGTTGTGCGGTCAGACGTGTGCCGAGTGTACGGTAAGTGACCACAGTCAGAACCATAGCACAGGAGGAGCAAGAATGTAACAACTAGCATGAGTAAAAAAGCCATGCAAAATAAATATAACTTTGCTGGAAAAGAAGAGCTTAGAAAACTATCAAGTAAACTGCATATAAAAATGAAAATAAGAAACATGTACTGCACTATGTTGTAGCCTGCCACTCAACAGGATGCTACGAGCACCTAAAAGCATGCAGCTCTCTTTACTTTGCATCTTCCTTCAAAGCCATGAATAATTTTGTACCATCTACCCCTAAATTTATGCCATATATCAACTGACCTGTAATAACCTCTTTAAAAAAAAAAAAATACAGCAGGTGTAACTAATTTTTCAAAAAGACAATGCCTAATTCAATTATACTTTTATTTATAGTAGTGTACCACAGCTCAACACCATCTAATATGAAGTCAAATGCTTCAATGAAATTCTACTGCAGCATTACCTAAGCCATGAATGCCAGAGACAGTGAAGTATATACTGATGCATAATTTATCTAAGACCTATTTCACCAGTATCATTCATATCTATGGCATACACAGTTCTCTTTAATTCATAGTTTAAAAATAATATGAATTGGAGCATACATACCACAGATAACTGTAACAGGTTGAAATGGGTGCCAGATTCATATTTTTAATATATAATAAACTGCAGTGGGATCATGTAATAACAATGATCTTACTCATGCATATTAATCCCTAACATGCGATAAACTACAGGTCCTTTGATGCAAGCTATAGTATTCTAATAACAGACAAATTGATGTGAGCAATACCAACCAGACGATGCATATTCTCCTGGGTGCACCCAGCCACCTGATGTGTCCGGGGGTTTCAAACAAAGAATGAAAGTTAATTGATTTTAAGGGTCACAAGCATATAACAATTTTTTTTCTGGCTGCAGTTATAGGATTGTAATGCCCAATCTGCTACTAATGGGTTTCATCTATGAAACATTCACCCTTTATTATACCCTCTTTCTCATGACGGACAACCCAACAAGTTTATGTTACAAGTCTAAGTTTCAAGCCCTGCTCCTGGGTTTTCCCCAAATAAGGATAGGCTTTCTACCAGAGAAGATAAAAGAAACCCAACAAAATTGCAGAGATATCCGAAAACCTTTTTAAATGTCTGAGTGCCAAAACAAAAGAAATATCTACACAATGATTGTGAAAAATGAATCCATACACGAGTTAAAGTAAATATAACAAAGCTAATTCACACCATACAAAATTTGTGAAAATGGTGCTAAATTTGTGTATATTTTGTTTATACTTAACCCTTGTAGAAAAAAAGAAAGACAAATGTGATATAATGTGATCATTAACTGACAACATTTCACCCCTCACAGCAGACTTTATCAAGTCACAAACAGATCTGTTTATGATCTGATAAAGTCCACTGTATGGACAAAACATTCTCAATGATGGATCACATTATACAGCATTTCTCTCTTTCCATCATGTTGGCATTTTATGTCATTTATCCCAACTTATCCTCTGCAATGATTTTAGCTTGTCAGACCAGGCAAATTTAAACTGGTAATTACAATTTACATGAGACAAATTATTAACAATTTTTTTTTTTTTAACAAGTTGGCAGTCTCACACCGAGGCAGGGTGACCCAAAAAGGAAGAAAATCCCCAAAAAGAAAATACTTTCATTATCATTCAACACTTTCACCTCACTCGCACATAATCACTGTTTTTGCAGAAATGCCCAGAACACAACAATTAAGAAGCATATATGTATAAAGATATACAACATATCCCTCCAAACTGCTAATATCCTGAACCCCTCCTTTAGAGTGCAGGCATTGTACTTCCCATTTCCAGGACTCAAGTCCGGTTATACAAAAATAACCGGTTTCCCTGAATCCCTTCAATAAATATTACCCTGCTCACACTCCAACAGCTCATCAGGTCCCAAATACCATTTGTCTCCATTCACTCCTATCTAACATGCTCATGCACGCTTGCTGGAAGTCCAAGCCCCTCGCCCACAAAACCTCCTATACCCCCTCCCTCCAACCTTTTTTAGGACGACCCCAACCCCGCCTTCCTTTCCCTACAGATTTATACGCTCTCCATGTCATTCTACTTTGATCCATTCTTCTTAAATGACCAAACCACCTCAACAACCCCTCTTCAGCCCTCTGACTAATACTTTTATTAACTCCACACCTCCTAATTTCCACACTCCAAATTTTCTGCATAATATTTACACCACACACTGCCCTTAGACAGGACATCTCCACTACCTCCAACCACCTCCTCGCTGCTGCATTAACAACCCAAGCTTCACACCAGTATAAGTGTTGGTACCACTATACTTTCATACACTCCCTTCTTTGCCTCCATAGATAACGTTTTTTGTCTCCACATGTAGCTCAATGCACCACTCACTTATTTTCCTATGATTAACCTCATCGTTCTATGATTAACCTCATTGTTCATAAATCCATCCGCTGACACATCAACTCCTAAATACGTATCTGAAAACATTCACTTCTTCCATACTCCAATCCAATTTGATATCCAATTTTTCTTTATCAAAATCATTTGATACCCTCATCACCTTACTCTTTTCTATGTTCACTTTCAACTTTCTACCTTTACACACACTCCCAAACTCGTGCACTAATCTTTGCAATTTTTCTTTAGTATCTCCCATACGCACAGTATCATCAGCAAAAAGTAACTGCGTCAATTCAAATTTTGTATTTGATTCCCCATAATTTAATCCCACCCCTCTCCCGAACACCCTAGCATTTACTTCTTTTACAACCCCATCTATAAATATATTAAAGAGACCTGAAACAGAAACCAAACAGTTTATGACAGAATTAAAAAACATGACAGTAAAGAATGAGTCAATAAAAAAACCAAGAAAAATGAAAGATAAACTGGAACCAATAAAGTTTCTCCAGCCCAAAAATTTACTGAAGATTCAGACAAGCCATATATTATTTTTTAACACACCAGTACAAGTACAGTTATTGCAAAAAAATATTATAAAATTGTACTTAATACAAAAACTATCAGTTATTTTTTTGCACACGACTATTATTCAATTAGAAAACAGTCTTAATTTCAAAATTTTCCATTATGCTGTTCTATCACCTTGATGAAAGCCTCAACTTGTTAAGTGATAAATCTAATCAAATAATTAGATTTTACAATACAAATGTTTTACACAAATCTTTTTAACTCAACCATAACATATTTAGATTTTTTTTTTTTAAACAAGTCGGCCGTCTCCCACCGAGGCAGGGTAACCCAAAAAAGAAAGAAAATCCCCAAAAAGAAAATATTTTCATCATCATTCAACACTTTCACCTCACTCACACATAATCACTGTTTCTGCAGAGGTGCTCAGAACACAACAGTTTAGAAGCATATACGTATAAAGATACACAACATATCCCTCCAAACTGCTAATATCCCGAACCCCTCCTTTAGAGTGCAGGCATTGTACTTCCCATTTCCAGGACTCAAGTCCGGCTATATAAAAACCTGTTTCCCTGAATCCCTTCACTAAATATTACCCTGCTCACACTCCAATAGATCGTCAGGTCCCAAATACCATTCATCTCCATTCACTCCTATCTATGATTAACCTCATCGTTCATAAATCCATCCGCCGACACGTCAACTACCAAGTATCTGAAAACATTCACTTCTTCCATACTCCTCCTCCCCAATTTGATATCCAATTTTTCTTTATCTAAATCATTTGATACCCTCATCACCTTACTCTTTTCTATGTTCAGTTTCAACTTTCTACCTTTACACACACTCCCAAACTCATCCACTAACCTTTGCAATTTTTCTTCTTTAGAATCTCCTATGAGCACAGTATCATCAGCAAAAAGTAACTGTGTCAATTCCCATTTTGTATTTAATTCCCAATAATTTAATCCCACCCCTCTCCCGAACACCCTAGCATTTACATCTTTTACAACCCCATCTATAAATATATTAAACAACCATGGTGACATAACACATCCCTGTCTAAGTCCTACTTTTACTGGGGAGTAGTCTCCTTCTCTTCTACACACCCTAACCTGAGCCTCACTATCCTCATAAAAACTCTACAGCATCTATTAACTTACCACCTATTCCATATACTTGCAACATCTGCCACATTGTTCTCCTATCCACTCTATCATATGCCTTTTCTAAATCTATAAATGCAATAAAAACTTCCCTACTTTTATCTAAATACTGTTCACATATATTATTTATTATATTTTTTTTTTTATTATCACACTGGCCGATTCCCACCAAAGCAGGGTGGCCCGAAAAAGAAAAACTTTCACCATCATTCACTCCATCACTGTCTTGCCAGAAGGGTGCTTTACACTACAGTTTTTAAACTGCAACATTAACACCCCTCCTTCAGAGTGCAGGCACTGTACTTCCCATCTCCAGGACTCAAGTCCGGCCTGCCGGTTTCCCTGAACCCCTTCATAAATGTTACTTTGCTCACACTCCAACAGCACGTCAAGTATTAAAAACCATTTGTCTCCATTCACTCCTATCAAACATGCTCACGCATACCTGCTGGAAGTCCAAGCCCCTCGCACACAAAACCTCCTTTACCCCCTCTCTCCAACCTTTCCTAGGCCGACCCCTACCCCGCCTTCCTTCCACTTCAGACTGATACACTCTTGAAGTCATTCTGTTTCGTTCCATTCTTTCTACATGTCCGAACCACCTCAACAACCCTTCCTCAGCCCTCTGGACAACAGTTTTGGTAATCCTGCACCTCCTCCTAACTTCCAAACTACGAATTCTCTGCATTATATTCACACCACACATTGCCCTCAGACATGACATCTCCACTGCCTCCAGCCTTCTCCTCG